CTTAGATCTAAGTTGGTTTTGGTATTTTGGGTAATGAGTGGAGAGATAGATAGAGAAATGAGATTAATAATTGAGCTAGAGAAAATTTATTGGAGATTGCAGACCGTGCGCAGAGAGAGAATCCCAAATTCAGAATCTCAAAACGAACTGGTTTACTCTTGAGGGCATTCCACACCCGTTGCTTATCTGTAAGAATCTTGCTAAATAAAAATGCACCATTATTTTTCTTGACTTGGATGTTCAGCTTGAAACTCCTACAGGCCCGTTTGGTGATAGGATGCTTTTAGTTCTTAGTTGGTTTTACGACATTCGCAAAAATGACTAGAGTAAGCAGGAGATGAGCAGGGAAAAAATATAGTATTCCACGAAGCTGGGGGAGATGCTTTTTGGCATTAAGCAGTATTGGCTGAGTACCAACTAAAAAGTGAAACCAACATTGCCAAGAGACAACGTTGCAACATGTCACCACACAATTCATTCAGAAAATGGCAAATCAATATTTTTATGCCCTCTTACACAACTATGGCTTACTTGAGTTATTGACACACAGCAATAGGGTTGAAGGATTTTGGTTCTCAACGGGGCTTTCTTGTATATCTTTGAGCCATGGTCCTTCTCTTCAACGTTGTGGGTGACAGGATTCCTAGTAGCACTGAAAGAATTATTCAGATCAAACCCCATTAAGTTATGCGGTCGGTCCAATCATCGCAATCAAAAATATCCCTCCAACAAAACACTTCGGCATGAGTTTCTTGATGATAAATTTCTCAGCCTTAGTCTTTGCCCCAGACTAGTGAATGCAACAGGAAACCTCTCTTCTTTGCTTCCTTTCCAAATTGGCAGCATTTCAACCACAACTTTCTGCAATAGTTTCCCCTCAAAACCCTCTCTGAGCATCTCTTCAAAATCTCCAATATTGCCCCTTATATCCAGCAAAACACTGCACAACCCGCGTCGTTTACAGTATTCCAGAATTGTCATCAAATTCATTCCATCCAAAACAACAGTTTCAATACCCTTTTGAGCCATTTCTGGTTCCACACTCGTCTCTTTGTTGGTGAAGATCACCACCTTAGAACTCACTTCTGTAGTCATTACAGGGACTTGAATTGGGGAGCTAGGGTTTCTTGCTAATATTATCTGAAGAGGTTGATTAGCTCCAGGTTCTTTGGATACTGGGAGTGAAAAATTCTCTCTTAATAAGGTGGAGGAACGTATAACTGCATCATATTCTTGTAACTGTGAGTAGTATCCACCAGGCTTTGTGACTTCTTCTCCAAGCTGGTCTGAGAAGTGGCCATCAATGGAGAGGGAGTATCTACAAATCACAGAGAAAACATCAAAATGATTCCTTCTTCATGTTTAATGAATGCCATCCAATTAATTAACACTAAACCATAGAAGTTTCTTAGCATTCTTGGGAAGTGAACCACATCATCTATACGACAACGGTTTAACCTGATATTCTTCATGTCACAATCTGCTCTAAAAATCTGCTTTTTGGTTTTCTCATATTATCTCAACTCCTTCGGTTTTTTATTAACTGCCTCCTCATCTCCTCCCAAAACTTCAATTTTTAGTAGTGAACAACTGAGGTTGCGACTTGTGTGATACTCATCAGAGCATGCACATAAGCTCTAGGGATTATAAAAGACAACTGGACTACATGAAAACACCATCACAAACGCTGAATTTTGCTACCTTAGAACAGTTGAGTAACTGCTGCCATTCACCAGGGGCTTCCATATATTCATAATAGCTTAACACTTCTCCTTACGACCCTCCAGCACCAGGATCTATACAGCATGTTACCACGTATGTAGCACGGACACAGATACGGACACGGATACGAGACACGACAATTCTAAAAAAAATAGGGATATGGACACGATGGGGGACAGGCCACGTGTATAAATCAATAAAAAATATATATATATATATATAATTTTTTTTTATGAACCATTGTATATGAATAATTTCACAAATTGTATAATTTTCTTTTAAAGGCATAATTACAATTTAACCCAAATGTTTTGAATAATTTCATATTAACCCCCCAAAATTAAAAAATATTACATTTGGACCCCAGTTGTGTCCAAGGCGTGTCCCCTATCAAAAAATAATAAAAATTATTGGATAATGTGTCCCTATTGTGACCCCGTGTCCAATAAGTGGACACGGTGCCCTTTTGAAGTGTCGGTGCTTCATAGGTTACCACTTAGCAGAGTCCTGTGCTTTTAATAAACAGTCGTTACCCGGTATGTGCTGCTTTCCCAATCAAAAGATAGGAGAGCATCCCTTCTCCCAAAGTTACAGGGTCGTTTTGCTGAGTTCCTTCAACATGGGAAATATTATCTTGTAATAACTAGGAAGACGAAGTGCACCTTAGAGTAACAAAGGGCTTCCCTGTTAGCATTAGAGATGTGTAAAGGCCTCAATCAGTTTCTTGCACAATTCTCCCTCGACACCCACTGTCACATCGATTCCTGCATCACGAAGTCTGTCCACACCCTTTGAAGCCACAATTGGATTTGGATCCACCATCCCCACCACCACCTTTTTGACTTTGGCTTTAATTAGTGCTTCAGTACAGGGTGGAGTTCTTCCACAGTGGTTGCATGGTTCCAAGCTCACATAAGCTGTTGAATTCTCAGCCAAATCCCCAGCATCTCTCAGAGCAAAAACCTGCAAATTCCAGCTCCTACCTCGAATCATTCTGAAGATTGCAACCATGAAGAACGAGAAACTTTTTGGTATCCCGGGGATACCAAGGGGATGGTATCCCCTCCGGTCCATTTCCCATTTTTTGACCATTTTTCGATCACATGTGGATAATCGGCTCCGTTCATTTTGTAGAGTTCGGCGAGAACTATAATCATACCAAAAATCGTATTCATCAGACTTTAATACGTACATGATCGGCACGTGTGAAAATTGAAAAAAATCAAGACTGGGTCCAAAAACACATTGAATCGGCACCCAGTTTTGATTTTTTTTTTTTTTTTCCATTTTCACCTGTGCCGATCATGTATCAAATAAAGTCTGATGAACACGATTTTTGGTATGATTATAGTTCTCGCCGAACTCTACAAAATGAACGGAGCCGATTATCCACATGTGATCGGAAAATGGGAAATGGACCGGAGGGGATATCAACCCCTTGGTATACCCGGGATACTTAGCTCTTGTTCGGTTTGGAATTCCAAACCCAGGATTTTGGATAAAGTAATTTTTCTATTTTTTCTCTCTCTAACTTTTCAATCATTATTTTCATTTTTCACTCTATCTCTCTCTACTTTTTACCTCTCTCCACAATCATTACTCTCATTTCTCTCTCTACCTTTATTCAAAAACACACTTAAAACCCACAACCGAACAAAGCCTTAAAAGTTTCTCATGAAGAACAACAGTTCCAACTTCCAATGCAACACCCCAACTGAAAATGAAAGAAAGTATCATTCCTACTACCAATTATCCTACATATCTTACACGAAATAGAACCAACGGTTTTCTTTTCCTTGTTTCCACCAAAACACACACACACACGTAAAATTGCTAAACAGCCACAGCACCCAAAGGCTGTGTTTGGATTCTTGTAGTACAACATGTTTCCCTTCTCTTTAGCCCTTCAACCAAAACCCACCAATTCAACGATCACACGCCATATGAACATTACAGTAATTTTAGGATTCATAAGCTAATAATACTTTTGGATTCTGTTAGAGACTTAGAGTTGACACAATGCTAGCTATCACCTGAAAAACCTTCTCTCGAAACCATTAGCGAGAAAAATATCGATATTTCGAAAATGTTTCCCATTGCATGCATGAAAAAACAGCTCTTCCTCGTTTGACCTCATGATTCTATTCTATATAATCAGAAATACTGGAAAAGATAGCACAGGAGTATTACCTCAGCATGGGGCTGCCGAGCTTTGGGGTGAAACCCTTCACCGACAATTTTCCCATCCTTGACAACAACACACCCCACCATTGGATTAGGACTGGTACACCCAATACCCTTCCTAGCAATCTCCACACACCTCCTCATGTAAAACCCATCATCTTCTCCTTGACATCTGATGCCAACAAAACCACCATGTCTTCTCCCACTGGTCACGGATTTGCACACCCTTTTGGTCGAAATCGATAACCCAGATCTCGAAATTGGAAACGGAACAAGTTTGGAGTTTGATGGGCCCAGGCTGTATCTTGAGACTGAGGGTATTTGGAGATGCATTTTCTTGGAGATTGGGTGAAACCCAATTAGAATTACCGAGTGATTATTGAACGAATGAGTAAGGAATGAATAAAAAAAAAAACAGGTTTTTCAGTGAAAATCATACTAGCGGAATGTGTTTGTCACCAAAAAAATACTCCGCAGTACTAGGAGGATGTGAAGGTTGACGACGACCGCAGTAAAAAGGGCACTCATATTTGCAACCCATTATTTTCTAAGCGTAGCTGTGTACCATATTATATACAGGCTACGCTTAGGAAATAATGGACTGCAAATAGCAGTGCCTAAAAATCCCCCAGTCTTTTGATTGATGAAGCGACCACGACACTGTTCCAAGGAAGCTAACCTTTTCTTGGGAAAAAAAAAGGAAATTTATATAAATAGTCCTCCTAGTTTCATCTAAGTCTCATTTTCATCATCCAAGTATCAATTACAATTTTTTTGACCTTCAAGTTTGGTTTTCGTACCAAATTGATCAAATTGATAACTTCTATCAGCTAAACTGGATGGTAAGAATCAAATTGATGGCAGTTTGGACGTTGCGATTCGTACCAAGTTCGTTCAATTGATAACGTCTGCCCTCAATTTATTTTTTCCCATCCTATTTGGCTGACAAATTAACGTTATCAACTGGACTAACTAGGTACGAAAACCAAATTTGAAGATCAAAAGAGTTGCAATTGATACTTGAATCGAAAATGAGAATCGGGTGAAATTAGAAGAACCATTTTTATGAATTTTCCTCGGAAAAAAAATGTTTGTGTCTGAGCCCGGGTTCAAACCGGGGACCTCTTAGTGTGTAAGACTAGCATGATAACCGACTACACCACACAGATGACACAAAGACTCTCGAAGACTATTGTTGACATCGTCTTTGTTTTGTTTGAGTTTTGAGATTTTTTTTTGATGTAATGAGTGAAGAAAAATAGATAGAAAAACTTACTGAAGATCTTGCAGAGACTAAAAAAAATTTCTGAAAACTTGTGAAGTGAACAAAATTGTTGACAATTAATTACTTATAGGTTCTCATGTTATTTTTTTTTTATTTTCTTTAACATGTTGAAACTAATAGTAATTGATATCTAACCTCTACTAAAGAAGAACATGTTTGGGTGGATTTCGCTTGGCAACTTTTCTGATTTGGACAATTATGCCCTTTGATTGCTGGGCTTGCACTGTGTGTTGGTTGCCCATTATGGTAATTTTATCTTATTACGTGATGGCCCAAGTGTGTGGATCACAGGCAAGCACGTGTAATCCTCCACCTCTCCCTCACGTAATAGCCCCCCCTCCCTTTCTCTCTCTCTCTCTTATTTGCGACTCTCGCTCAGGGTCGTTCTCTCTCTCTCTCTCTCTCTCTCTCTCTCTCTCTCTCTCATGAAATTATGGAATTGGGATGGAAATTAGGGAAGAGGGATATCATGAGGTGGGGGGGTGGAGGAGGAGGGGAGGGTGTTGGACGCTGAGGCGCGGCGGGTGTCGGATTCCGGTGGCCGCGGCGGTGTGCCCGCCACCGCCGAAGAAGAAGAGGCATTGTTGGTACGGGAAGACGGGAAAGAGGGAGCCACCGAAGAACGGGTATTTCAAGCCGCCGGATGATCTGGAACTGCTTTTCTCTGTTCCGCCGAGACACCAATCGTGTGCTTAATCAGTTAGGCGTGCGTGTTAGTACTAATTAGTTCTCTCTCTCTCTCTCTCTCTCTCTCTCTCTCTCTCTCTCTCTCTCATTTGTGTACATATAGGATAGTGGTTTATCGATTTTGCATGTGCGTTTTTCTTTGTGTTGTTTGGTAGTGGTGTCAGGCTGTTAGCTACCGGAGTTTGGTCAGTCTGATCTTGGGTTGTATTCTACTACTAACTACGAATTTTGGGGCTAATCTCATGGAACTTTTCTAAATTGGCTTGAAGAAGTTGTATAACTGGTGAGAATATTTGGGTGGTGCAGCGCTGGACTGTGGGGAGTTTGAAGGAGGGAAACACGCCCTACTCCATTCCAACATTTCGATGACTCCTTACCAAATCCTAAAGGTCTCTCTTGCCTTACCTGCTGTTTTTTTCTTTTCTTTGGTTTGTGCTTCTGATTTCTGGTAATTAATGATTGGAGCTTGATACGGTTAGGTGGTTGTGTTGTCACTGATTTGTTGTGTATTTCATGCAGTTTCCAATTGATCTAGAGCATTTTGAGAAAAGAGAACAACTAAAGAAGAGTGGTATTGCAAAGGTTAGAGTTCAGATTATGTGGCAGTGGTTGCACATCAGTCATGTTTCTGGCCTATCTGTTTGTTAACTATGAACTATCATTGTTTTTGTATGCAGGTCATTATGTTTTTGTCAAAGTCTACCGAGGAGACTACCAACAAAAAACTTGCGAAGATTTGGTTGATAAATGGGTAATTGATTTTTTACTCTCTCTTCCCTTGGGCATCCATTTATCAATCAGTCTTCACATTCCTCTTCGATGGAGAATATATGTGTAAGTAATGAAACTTTGCAATTTTCGTATGGTTTTTCTGCAGGAACCCTGAAGAAATGCCGTGGAGCAAAACCGGGCTGAGTTTGTTGTTGAGTCTATTGGAGGAAAAGGCTGCTGCCCACCTGAAGTTTTGATTTGATCTCCCATTTGTTTGTTGATTTTCTTTGTCTGATGGAAGTTAATTTGAGAAGTCTTTATACATCGGGTTAGGTTGTTTAATTAGGTTGTAACTTGCAAGGATAACATAGTACAAAGTCCTCTCAATGACTGAATTGGGTTAATTTGTTCAATGAAGGGTTACCAAGGCTTTTGATTCACGTATGTGGTGATTGGGTATTGACTTTAATTGTGTGGGTGGTGATCACGGTGGGGCGAAGAAGGTGGTCATTTCTACCCCAAGTAAGGATGCTCCTATGTTCGTTATGGGGGTGAATGAGAAGGATTACAAGCCTGATATCGATATTGTCTCCAATGCTAGCTACACTACCAACTGTCTAGCTCCCCTGGCCAAGGTTACATCTAAACCAATCAAGGATTAGCCAGAATTGTTGGCTTAGTTGATATTTTCACATGGCTTTGCTCATAGTTTTCTGTTTAAACTTTTTGCAGGTTATTAATAATAGGTTTGGCATTGTTGAGGGTCTTATGACCACTGTTCACTCGATTACTAGTTAGTCGTTGCTCACATGGTTGTATATGCTTTTGAATATTGAGTTATGATGGATTTAGCTCTCTCTAGCTATCCTGGTTCCACCTCTTTCAAGTTTGAAGTCTATCAACTTCAAAGAACTGACATAATGTCCTCGCTTGAACAGATATTGTGTTTCTATAACTGGTCTTGTTGATCATCCGAAACTGCTGTTCATGAAAGATGTGTGGTGAGTGATGAGTTTCGGCCTTCATATTTCATGATACGTTGTTTCATTCGTGATTATTTGGAGAAGGAACTTTTATTGTCAAATAAATAATAGGAACCTTCCAAAGTATACAGTCACTGCCACTTTACAGGTATTTAAATCGTACAAACCATGTGGTCTATATTTTAGAGTTGTTTGCTATTGCACTCTTTCTACCATAAATAACTAACAAACATTTTTTCTGTTTCAACAAATTTCTCTGAAGATGTTGACCTGGCTTGTTTTGTTTGATGATACAGTGTGCTGGTAATAGGAGGACTGCAATGAGCAAATCCAAAACTGTGAAAGGTGTTGGTTGGGATGTCGCTGCCCTTGGAAATGGTTAGTTTTCTCCTTAGATTGTTTTGTTCTCTTGACACAACTTATTCTAGAGTTATTGAGTTCCAAAAATTAATTCCTTTTTGGACTGGGGGGCCCGCTATGCCAAAAGCAAGGGAAACCCTATCCCTCTCTTTCCTTTTTTCGCCCCTTTCCTTCCTAAAGTGAGGACTGGCCAGTACAAGACTCACACTTATCACATCAGTTAAGGTTAGATGTATGCATTGTATGGGAAGCTTAAGAGAGAGATGGATATGTATGGGAATTAAAAATGATGAGCGAAAGGCAGCGTAGAGGTAGTTGAAGACATATTGAGAGCAAATAGGTTGAGGTGGTTGACCGCATAACAATGATGATATGATAAGGTAAAGGTTTCAGGAAGAGTATAGTGTTAGTAACTAACTGGTAATGGGAATGCTATGGTGAGGAAAAGAGGAGGAGAAGACATAAATTGGCATGGATATTTTCATAGAAAAAGGATTTTCGACATTCGTAAACTTAGCATAACGCAGGGCCCTTGACAGAGGTGAATGGTGAAAAACTTTATCTTCAGCTGATTAGGACACAAAGCATGATTAGTTTGGTTTTGGTGTGCTTATAGGAAAGAAACAATAAAATGGTGATTACTTAAACCAATATGTGGAGGGAATATTTCTGGGTTTGAGTTAGTTAATCTAACTGTCAATCCACGTCAGTTTTGGGTTATGCATGTCGTGGATCTTTAAGCACAAGGTAAATTACACAATCAAGAATTAAGCCTCAAAGAAACCTTTAGAAATTGTGATTGGGATCTTGTTTTTCCAGCCATGCCCCTGACCTTACATATTGATGGATCTTGGTCCTTGTACAACAGACATTTGAAACTACCATCGGTAACCATGTGCATGTGATGTTTTTGATTGAGATGATTGTGTTTTCTGCATGTTTTTATCGGTAATTTTTGCAAATAGTTGAGGAACATAGGTCTGATAACCAGAGCTGGTTTTTGTCGCTTTGCTGTGTCAGACATGTTACTTTTAGTGTTTTTATACTGCCTGTAACTGGCAAGAGAGAGTTAGGATGAGCTGAGACAGGCACAAGAAGTCAGAGACCAACGAAAGAGATGGAAGAATTTAGGTTATTTGATAGTAGATAGCAGTAATTCGGATATGTGGACTGGGGTGTTGGCGAAATGATGTGGTGGTTAGAATATTTTAGTAGGTCAACAATATGCAATTTGAACCAGAAGAAGAAGCCTTATACGGGCATATGAGGAGTGTCAATAATTGCAACTGTGCTAGATGTGTCATATTCGGTATAATTTTGATACCTAATATTTTTACATGCACGTTACACTCCCTTATTTTTGTGTTAATTATGGTTTCGTGTATATTTTTGTATCAAATATTGGGAGTTCTATTTACTGAAACTTTTTTTTTTTTTTGGGTTAGTAAATTTTACATCACCAAAAATGCAACCGAACTACAAAATCACCGGGGCATCCCCCTAATCAAGCAAAACAACTAAAGAACCACCTATTACAAGAAAAGGGACACACTACTTACACACAAAAACAACAACCTATCCACAATTATTGATTTCAAAAATCCTTGAATCCAGAAACCAGTCATCACAAAGATCCCTATTACGAGCTGAAAACTTAATGGAGGACAGAGAGCTAAGTTTAGCTCGAATCTTCAAGAACAGCTGTCGTTACTCCTTCCAAGTGTCACGCCCCGCCCCGCAAACGGCACCCAAAGTGGGCCCGAGTCGGTGCGACCACGTGGCATTCCACACAGAAGACCAAACCACACCTCGCAACCTGTCAGAATGTAAATACTCAGCGGAAGACTTATCACCTAAACATAAAATGAGTCAACGTATCAACCAACCAACTACAACCTCGATTTACAACACTTTAGAAAATTTCATATTTCAACATGTCCACAAACAAATACATTACAACTTAAACAAAACAACTTCTTCCTCAACTACCTACAACAAGCTCGACCTTCCACAACATCCAAGGCTAGACCAAACACTCCTCAACACGATGACCAGTAGTGGACCCACTCTAAGCAACCTGCTACCTGGCAGACCAAAAAGGAAAGCCAGAGTGTGTGAGATATAGAAATGCTCAACATAATAC